AACTCGACAGCTTTAAAACTTGCACACTTCAATGTCAGAGTTCCTGAGCCAACGTGAGTGGAGGAGGAATTCTGGGAGTTGAAGTCCACAAATCTTAAAGCTGTGAAGTTTGAACACCACTGGGTTTTTTTTCTAAAGGGTTAGGGGTGGAAAGGTCTTGTAACTTGACAGCTTTAAGACTTGCGCACTTCAATTCCAGAATTCCTGAGCCAACATGACTGGGGGAGGAATTCTGGGAGTTGAAGTCCACAAATCTTAAAGCTGTCAAGTTTGAACACCCCTGGGTTTTTTTTCTAAAGGGTTAAGTGTGCAAGGGTTTAAGACTTGCGTGCTTCAAATGCCAAGAGTTTCTGAGCCAACATTTTGGTTGCTAAGCAAGAGCATTGTTAAGTGAGTTTCACCACATTTTACAAGTTGTCCACTCCCACCCAGTTACATGACTGCCAAGCCACTCTGACTCGGTCACATGGCTGACAAGCCACTCCCACAAAGCACACCACAACTACAGAAGAGATTCTAAAAAAATTTGAAATCCACCACTGGGATGCATGCAACACATGCTCGCTCGGCACTTCTGCAGCCCACTTCCGAATGGCTCAAGGCCCAGTCGTAGGCTGCCACCCCAGGGCTGGTGACCCCTGATGTAATGCATGTATTTAGATTTATGCCTTATATACAGTATATTTTGTTGGATGTCAAAGTATTGTTTTTTTTATCAGTGCAGATAATTATGACTTAAGCTGCTCCTTCATGGATTGGGGGTGAAATAAGGACAATGTTGCAGGACCAAAGGGAAGACGTGGTATTGGGAGGGCACCAGAGGTGGCATTCTGCCAATTCGCCCCGGTTTGGGCGAACCGGTAGCGGCAGCGGGAGGCTCTGCCCACCTGCCCAGACATCATCATGGATGCTCTGTGCAAGCACAGAAGCACCACGTGCAAGCGAAGGAAGCGCTCACACATGCAAGCGAAACAAGCCCACGCAAATGCAAGCGAAGCGAGAGTATGCACGGACATGCTCCCAGTTCCAAACCAGTAGCGAAGGTAAGAGAAAAGTATCACTGGAGGGCATGCTTGTGTTGCGAACCCACTACTAGTTTCCTTACTGAGAGTACCTTACCAACACTATCTATTTTGGATAAGTACAGAGTTGAATTCAGCAGAGAATAATGTTTAGTCCTCATATAAATAACACACTACTAGGCCCTGATTATTATTTTGCTCAGTATCCAGGTTTTTAAATGGCACAGGGATGGTGAAAAGAACGGCAGACCTCTCTTATAACTGATTACGCCTCAGTAAACAGAGTATTGAGAACACAGAAAATGCCATCTTCAAAATATTTCAGGGGGACTGATCCAAAAAGAGGGAAAGATGGACTTGCCCATTAATTCATTTAGAAAAATTCCATTTTCATGGAGTTGCTACGGAGAACATTTGCGTTATTTTGATCTTTGAATGCATAACCAAAGGCATTTAAGACTTTAAAGAAATGAATCTATCATGCTGCATTAAAAAGCAGCAGGAAATGTGCTTGCCAAAAGATATCCTTAACAAGTCATTTCTGGTTGATTAGCCCTTGCTTAGGATGACACTCTATAGAAATACGTGCTCTGGTTTCCAAATCTCAGAGCAAAGCCCTTGTGCAATTTTATTTGTTAATGCTATCAGTAAGGGAGCTCTCTCCCTCTCCCTCTCCCTCTCTCTCCCTCCCCCTCCCCCCCTCTCTCCCCATTTCTTGGCTGTACTGGTTTATTATGACAATTTGTTCAACTGCTGTATATATTTCTTTTTCTATTGTTTTTAAGTGTTTTCATTTTTAAAAAATTGTTCGCCACCCAGAGTCCCTGTGTTGAGATTGTCAACAATAGAAAAATAATTGATTAATTAGCTCAGCAAAATAATAACAGCAGAAAGATCCCCTGAAGATGTATTGGGGATGTGCGATTTTGAATTTCTGAATGTAGATAATTTAGTATTTTAGTATTTAAGTTTATTTATATGCCGCCCTTTTCCCTGGGGGGACTCATAAGAACATAGATAAGGGTAAAGGGCACTATTTCTACAATATAATGTTTGTTCACCTAAACCATGGTTTCTCCTCTATTGGGAATTGCTTTCCAGAAACTCAGGTAGAAATTCTCTTCCATTCTTTGGTATTTAATCCTTTTGAATAAAAATGTTAGGAAGCAAAAGGGGAATCTTCTCCATGCAATGACACATTCAGTTACTGGTTGTGGTCCTTCTTGTTGATCAAAGTCACAACAGTTGCTCAGTTGCATTGTTTACTTATACGTTTTATATCACCTCTCTTTATCCAGAACAGTTTGATGCCTGATGCTTGATTTTCCAGTTTTAGAAAACCACAAAGTCTATAGGGACAACAATACTGTTACTTTCCTTAAAATAATGAATGAGCTCATTCACTCAGTTGTAAAGATATACAGTATGTAAGAGAACACTGAATTAGCAGCTAAGTTTAATACCTGACTTTTATGGTCTCAATCCTTGATAATAAACCAGATTCTATCTATGTAACCTTGTCCCTTAAAATGGCATGCTGGAGCAGGTTAGAAATGTGCATGTTCTAAAGATAATATTTTCCAATAGACAACAATCCAAACTCTCAAAAACCCACAAGCAGATTGCGATCATTTTATTTCTCATGAACTTATATAATTCCTTTTTTCATAATTAAAAACTCCCTATATCAACATTTCTTCCTTCTATCAATCCTGAAATCTCAATTGGATGATTCTGGGTTTCCCTATATTATAAAAATGAGAAAAAAATCCTTAAATTCTTAAATTTCAAAAAGTTCCTCACCTTTCAAACAAATCAAAGAGACTGCCTTAATTAATTCACTAAAAAGGGGAGCAGGAAATTTATCTTATAGTTTTCAACATTCTCTATTTATGCCAGATTAGTATTAAATATACTTTTCTGACATTGATGTTGTTCCTGTTGCCTTGATCTTGCTCAGATCAATGGGTTTGACAGTTGGCTTAATTCTGTGGGGTTTGACAATTGGCTTAATTCAAACTCAAAGTCTGGTTAAAAACAAATTCCTCTCTGGAATGTGTAATGATCTTTCTAATACTCTTTCTCCTTGTTATTCTGGAGAGGATGTTTCAGAGGCATATGAAATAAGGGCATTCTGCAGGGAATGAAAAGAAGCTATACTGTGATCAGTAGTGGGTTTCAAAAATTTTTAGAACCTCTTCTGTAGGTATGGCCTACTTTGTGGGAGTGACTTGCTGGCCATGTGACCAGGTGGGAATGGCTTGCCCGCCATGTGCCTGGGTGGGAGTGGCCAACTTGTAAAATGTGGTGAATAACAATGCTCTTGCTTAGCAACTAAAATGTTGGCTCAGAAACTCTGGTATTTGAAGCATGCAAGTCTTAAAGCTGTCAAATTACAAGACCCTTGCACCCCTAACCCTTTAGAAAAAAAACTCCAGGGGTGGTCAAACTTGACAGCTTTAAGACTTGTGGACTTCAACTCCCAGAATTCCTCCTCTCACTCTTCATCTTGATGATGTGCGGATGGGCGGGGGGAGGGAGCTGGAACCTGTTTTAAACGGCACAGAAGATTTGTGGAACCTCTTCTATAGAAGAGGTTAGAACTGGCAGGAACCCACCCCTGACTGTGATCTTCCCCTTTGATTTCTGAAGAAAATCCATAAATGCTGTTATAAAATCACTTTATTTATTAAATTAAAGTTCTATATTGATTACTATGCCTTGGCTCTTAGGAAAGATGCTGCCAAGCCAGTGGTCTCAGGAAGCAGTAACTCTCATTAGTGACCATCAAGAGGCTGAACAGAGACCTATGGTCAAAGAAACTCAGATACTACAGACAGGTAGGCAGGAATAAAATGCTTTCATATCCTTTTTGCCTGTTGTGGACAAGTCAAATAAGTATGGTTTCTCTGTGGAGACACTGTGCAGCCTGTAATTTATGTTTAAGGTTCCATCTCCCTGGACTTCAAGAAAAAGATTCTAGACAAGAAATGGTAATTTGGATGGAGACCAGAGATTCCCAGAGCTGCATACAGAACTGTAACCTCCATTTTTGTGTGTGATTGTAGCTGATGAAATTAGGTGTCAATGTCTCACTTCATTTTGAAGTGGGAATCACATCAACACTGTGATACAAATCATAAGGGAACAATACAGGAAAGTTGCGGGCTGGAATTACTGTGGCATTGTGTGGCAGGCAGCTTGGGACATCAGCACAATTTTCTTCAGGGGGTTCAGATATACTTTTGCTCATAATATTTTGCAACTCGCTGCCTGGCTTCTGCTCACCTGTAGGGGAGCTGTAGGTTGTCTCATCCTGGAGATGGGTGCGTTGGGTCACCTGTGTACTGCTGGCATCATCTTCTCCCGGCTCCGAGTCTAAGCAAGAGAAAGTACAAGGTGAACAGAAGACCTTGCTGGAGAAGTTCTTGCATATCTTTATCCTGATTACTTAATCCGATTTATCAGAACTACACAAAACAGCTATGAAGAAAGTCTATGGGACTCAGATGTCCTTGATAAGATTTTGAAAGTCCAGCTTTTAGCACTTTGAAAAATGAGAGGAAAAGACAAATTTCTAACTCTGCATATAATGTATATGACAAACATTAATTTGAAAGATCCAAGCATCTCCTGGCAAATCATAATTCTTAGATTTCATAACATTTTTTTGCTTCTTTTAAATAATTGATTTAGGATTTGAAAAGTAATAGTTCTTAGGTATCCAGCCTTTGATTAGGCATACAAAACATTTAATGTAAATTAGATAGATAAATATATTCATATAGACATAATACCCCCACACAGACATACAGTATATGTCTAAACAAGCATGGAATAAAAGACAAAAACTCTTTCTCGTTTAGATGGGAAAACAGTACCAAATATATCATTTTCAGAAAGCATATGGTATTTAAGATGTGTAAAAGTCTGTATTAAACAAGCCAGCAGGAATACCTGAAGTTAGACAGATATACAGAAATGGATAGATGGAGATCATTGCAAAGTGATTTTTTTTTTATTTACAGTGCACTGCCAATGATAAAACGTATTTTGGTAGCAAGCTTCCTTCTTAGTTGTTATAGGACTGTTAATGTTAAATTATCCCATAATTTCTCATCTTAATTCTCCTCAAAAGTTCTGATATCAATCCAACAAGCTCCACTAAAACTATTTTGGACTCTAGTGGTCACAGCTGAAATGTTGGCAGCAAAAAATGTCTGCCTTTATTAAAGAATGTCTAGCTAAATATTGAGAAGCTGACAGAAATGTCAAAATGTATATGGAGTATGTTCAATTAAGAATTAACAGTCCACATTAATTGAATTAAATTGCCCCCTTTATTGATTTTATGTAGGGAAGACACATTTTCAAGGCCAATTATACATAACCATTTTTCATTATTATAAATGAACTTTCATATTATTTATTTCGATTGTCTTTTCTATTTTCTCCAAGAGTTTTAATGAAGTATTGAGTAGCATCAGAAAGGAAAGCCATTCTGGGAAACAAACCCTACATAAAATAGTACCAGGTAGCTCAGCACTCAGAATCTGATTTGGAAAGTTCAAAACTGCCTCCAGAAAGGTTTGGGGTTTTGTTTTTGTTTCTTTAGAAAGGAGAAAATGGCATCATTTTCCACTTGTAAATGTTCTGTGTCTGCTTCGTCATCAAATGATTTACCTTAATGAGGGAAAGACAGGATAGGCGCAACACTTTTGGAATGGTAGTGGCAGGAGCTTGTCATCTCAATGCACCCTACCAGGAATTGACCTCAGTTATTTTCACTGTGGCATTTCCATTTTTATTTTAAATTTGCCCTTTTTGAATTATTATCCATAAACAGGGAAATGGGTTTAGAACATGAATGGTGGACTTACAGTTCATGCTCCAACTCTCAACAACTTGCCCCTCTATTAGGGTCTTTGTATCTCAGATTGACTAGGGCTGTGATGGCAAACCTATAGCATGCGTGCCCGAAGTGGCACATGCAGCCATGTTGCTTGGCACACGTGGCATCACCTGTTCCTTTTCCTGGTTTCTGGCACACATGCATGCACACTGATCAGCTGACCTTCATTCATGTAGCAGTGTCATTTTCTGGCGTGAGCATGTGCACTGGCCAGATGATCATGCACGCCATTAACCCAAAGACTAACTGGCTGGTGTGCATATGTACGCTGGAAACTGGAACTTCATTTTCTGGTGCGTGCATGACCACTGGGCAGCTCCTCTTCCGGGTCGTGTCCCAGACAAGCACGCATGCATGTGTGTGCTCCCTTTTCGGCACTCAGTGCCGAAAAGATTCGGCATCACTCGACTAGAGAGTGAAACGAGAAAATTAAACTGCAAAGTGTGTAGGAGACCTGTCTCCTTGGTAAATATCCTCAGAAGACAGTGTGCAATGAACATGTCCTACAGAACTCCAAAAGAACTCCATAGTGTATGCACACTAAACAAAATTCAAAACTCCAAAACAAGTAAAAGCAGCAGGAAGGAAGTTTTTCGAAGAAAATCTCTAGCAAGAGAAGGCTTAGTCATTTCCTTTCTTCCTGACTCTGTTCAGATCCAAATCATTACCTTTTCAAGGTTTTTCACAAGGTCAGAACACTACTGTGGTCCAGATTAGATATTGCGTAACATTTTACTTCTGGAATAAACTGAATCAGAGGGCCAGCAGATGATTTAAAAGGCACTTTTCCCTGCTATTTTTCAGTTCAGGTCCACACCAAAGTTCTTACCTCCATATCAGAGGATGGAGAAAAATAAGGGCCATACACATTTTCCATACAATGATTTTTGGGTTTGTTGTTTCAGGGATAGAAAAATAAGGAGTAGGAACTGGATGAAGTTCTCTCCAACCAATTTTCCTCCAATTCATTGGATCTTTTGCAATATTTTTTTTAATTGCATAAAATGGCCAGAGGAAAATGACTCGGAACATATATAGCTTGCTCTTTAGACAAGCAGAAATTTCAGAAAATATAAGACCATAAAAAACCCTGGTGGGTCTGGGCAACAGTCAGTCCAGCCCAGCATGCTGTGTCACGTGCTGCAGTCCACCAGATGAACACGGGAAGCTCATAAAGAAGCACAGGAAGGAAGCAGCTGTCCTCCACTGTTCTTTGTGCTATGACACGATTAGCAAGGTGAAAGAGTTTATTTGTTGTTTTTCAGACATGGAATTTGCATTTTTTTTTTCCAGAGGTAATGTGCCACATTTTCACTGACCTGATTCTGGGATCCCTTCCTTGATCAGTACATGTCGGTTGTATTAATATATGTGAATGTGGAAAATAATTCGGGAGATGGGGTAACACACTTTTCTTTGTACTTGCTTGGACTAAACTGCATTTGCTGCTTTGATAGCTACTAACCCAGATAGAGAGATATTTTTGGAGTCTCAGAATCCCCCTTTGATTTTATCACCCTGAACTGTTTTATATGAAGAGCAAATCTGGCCTCTTTGCAGCTTACTCTGGATTCCTAATTTGTTTCTACACAAACTAAAAAGTAAGGATCCCAACTCTAATTCCAGATTAATTCCACATTTTCCACCTTGAAAATTATCTACTTAATGCTACTCAGTGCTTTCAGTTCTCTAGTCAGTAACCAGTACATAAAAACCACTGTCTCCCTATACTGAATTTGTTCAGAAGCCTTTATGAGGGACTTTGTCAAAGTCTAACTATATATCTATTAAATAATGCCATTCTTGTTGATTTCACCCTCCTCTCCATGTCAAAAAATCTAGAAGGTTATTAGGGAGATTCAGTGCATTCTTTAAAGGCATTTCCTTTCCAAGTTCAAGTTGGGAAAGAAAAGACCACTGCAGATTTCCAGAGAAGAGCCAGAAGAATTATTAAAATGTTGGACCCCAAAGTTGAAAAACATACGCAGCTGAGTAAACAGCAGTGTCCTGGTATTCCTTTTTTTACACAATACTTTTGTATTGTATAAAAATACATTTTTCTGGAAATTGCAGGTTTCCTCTGTGTCTTTAAAGAGCAATGAGAAGTCACAATGGGAAAGTTTAAATGATAACTGATAGGCAAGGTGGCAGCTGATTACTCATCAGCCACAGAAGCCATAGGAGTAAACAGTAGTCAGATCAAGAACTGAGCAATTATGATACATAAAACAAAGAATTGGAAGAAAAATATGTGTCAAGTTGTTCCTTCAACCATTTCCTCTCAAAACCTGATTTTTGTTGATAAAAGAAGGTTAAAAAGGATGCCACATGCTTTGGCCTCACTGGCTGCAATTGCACAAGCTGCTTTACCCATGGTTTATACAACCAAGGATTCACTTGAAACCATAAGCTACCTATATGAGCTGGATCTTCATAATACACTAAGTAAAAATGTAGTTGTATAATTTGCGATTAAGAGTATCATGCAAGCATAGCATTCATTCATCAGAATCATCAACCTTAAATGATGAAAATTTTTAATGAGGAATTGATGCCAAAAGGGTTGGCTGCATATTTACATATACAGTATATTATTGTAGATTCTTCAGCATAAGAATCTTCCTCTCCACACGCCAAAGAATGCATTCAAAACATAATAAAATACTATAAAATGGCAAATTAGGAAAACAGCTTGGTTCCTACCGTAACTTTGCTTTCTGCAGGAGCGGAAAACTTCGCTTCCATAGGGGCAGCAAGAAAGAGAGACACACGTCAATGAAGTGTGATTGCCAAACCAGCCCAGGCTTAGAATATCCCAAATATTACAGAATACAACATATATGTGGTATAAACCTCAAAGAAATCTCTAATGCGATATGCAGGGAACATTATTAGACCAGCAATGCATATAAATATAACAAGAGAAAGCTCGGATGCAATGTGCAAACCCCCAGACATGTATTCATAAGAGAACATGTCTGAAAAATAGAATTTAACAGCTATGCTAATTTCAGAGAAAGGAAAACAAAGAAGCTGACCATCCAAAAAGCATAGACTGAAAGAAGGGGAAGTTTGAAAGACATGTCCTGAAAGAAGGGGAAGTTTGAAAGACATGTCCCTAAGGACTGAATGAGTGCTTTAGAGTGCCTATTCAAATGTACCTATACAAATTGCATATTATTGCCTCCCTCACACCATTTCCACCTCTCCCACAGGCTACACCTTCCCTTCTCAAGAAAGTGGCATGCAGATAAAGTAAATAGCACTCTTGAAGAGGTGCTGGCCTCCACATTACTTGACTAATGGAATATTTTATGTGCCGACTCAGAAATAAGTTTCACTGATTCAGTGAGACTCTTTGCGAATGGGGATAGGACCACAGCCTAATAAACTTATTAGGTCAAGTCAGATTTCTCTTGTAGTATTTCATTTTCAAAACTGGCCAAGCATACGCTATGATTAAATTCATAGGGAGAGCACGAAGGTGAGAAGCAACCTCTGTATGTGATCCCTAACACTGATAATGTAAATTGCACTGATTCTGATGACGTGGGTTTAATTTTTAGTCATTATAGCTAATAACCAGATCTCTCCCTCTTTGAAACTGTCTTTACCTAGAAGTGGAAATCTTTGGCTCTCCAGGCAAGTTTTAGGGAACAGTGATGTACCTACAGGATTCCACATGCCCAATTTTCTCTAAAAGTTGAATATGGAAGCTAATGTCATTCTGCTTAGAAATAAAAAGCAATCATTTTGCTCATAAGGGGACACAACACACACACAGTCCAATTTCTATAGTATGGAAATATCTTTATTAAGACTCAGATTCTGGAGAGCTCAAAGGGTCAGTCACTATTGTATTACATTTGGAATGGTCCTATTAGACCAGTCTTTTCCTAATTGTGATCCGTGAAACTCTTGGATCCTACTAAAGCTGAACAGATGTTCCTATTCGTCCCAGATACATTTGCTTCCTGAAGCATCACTATATCATGCCACAAACTAACACATAGTTTAATTCAATTAATTAATTAATTAATTAACCCATGGATTAACCAATGGATTTATACACACATCCTAAACTATAAAGTGATTACCCATAGATTGTTTGGACTGAGGTGAAAATGTGGTTTGCCTTCTTTTTGCAAACACAACCAATGAAGATTGCTAAGGGGAGATATTTCACAGCCTTCAAGCCCATCTAGAGTCTTCCTAGTCAATCTCTTCCATTAAGGAAGACAGGTGTTAAGAAGAAGAGAGGCCCTGTACTTATAATGGTGATGTGGTAACTACAAGTGACATGATGCATTGTGTCCACACAGTCATGTAAAGGTGCAAAACTGCACCTTCTTTTGCATCTGGCCCCTGGCCACCCTTCTGTTTTCCTTATCCACCCCAAAAGGGACCAAAGGGCAGAAGTAATACAACGCACCATGCGTGAAGCGTCCAAAACGCCGTGAGTGACCGCTTTTCTGCAAAGGAAAAAGAAGAAACTGGTGGAATTACCTCAGGATGGGCAGAACAAGCTGTAGAGACACACTGGAAGTAAAGTGACGCAGAAAGGCTCACACAAAAAAATAACCCATTCCCAATGACAGCCAAATTCAAGTATGAGGGAAACTTCAGGAAAAGATCAACCAGAGTCAGATAGTTCTAGCATATATCACTTCCCAGCAGGGTCCTTTCCATATAACAAGTGGAGTCACTCTCTAGGTTCTGGGTGAAGCCTTCTTAGGCCACTTTTTGTTACCATCTTGATGCACCAGCCTTGTGCAGCTGAGAGCTGGCCTCCAATGTTGGAATTCCCTCATCCTCATTCCAGTCCACTCAGCAAAGTCATCCCAAATTCAGGAAGCGTGAATTTCTACCCAGGTCCTTATCCTCTCTATCCTTTTATCTTTCCAGGCACCATAACAGGCACTCTGCACACGTAACATCAGACTTCTCCTGGTAAAAACCACACTCTCTCTCCAATCGCCAGGAAGTTCTCCAAGAGATCTCCATGCAGGAAGCCAGAGTGCCAGGCTTCCTGTGGAAAAGAATTTCAGCCCTGACTAGCAACGCCACAGGACTGCTCAAAGGATAAACCATGGGTGGTTTCCATTAGGAAAAAGGGAAGATTTTGTAATTCAGGAATAGTGATGGAACAGCACGCATGTGCTTGTAAACACATATTCATATGCACACACGTGGAGCAGCTCAGGCACAAAGCCACCCACTCCCCAGCTTTCCTGCTGTTCCATCTTCCAGCAAATCTGCTCACTAACTTGATTTTCCCATGATACTAATGCTGAGGTGAAATACTCTGGGCAATGGTGAATAAAATAGAAGTGACAACATCAATCAGTGAGACGTGAGAAATAGGATACTGATGTCACAGAGAAAGGAACATCCACACAGACAACTTGCACCCATTAATTTTCTCTCTTTTGCATTGGAGTCCATTGGATTTGAAATTGTAGGAGAAGAGCTATGTTAGTCTATGGTGACAAAAAAAAATCAGGAGCTCAGTAGTTGTCCAACTAACATATTTTATTAAGAAAAAAAGTGGAGAAAAGCTCCTCATTTATTGGATTAGAGAAAATCTCTAATTCTTGAAACTCCAACCCTAAGAAAGAACTGCTCCCAGCACGCAGATGCAATGTCTGATCAGCTCCACTTGGATTTGTATTCTGGTCAAGCCAGTTTGCCCCCACTGTGACTGGTGCTGGCTGGCAGCCCATGTGCCTCGCCAGGAAGATATATGAACAGACAAGCTCTGGTGCTGATGGATAATTCCTCCATCAGGAAATGAAAATGCAATCAACAGTCATTAACAGGTATCTGGCTAGCATCCCCATAAGTCAGACACATGGCAGGAGGCAAAGTCTGGCTTCGAGATTACAAACAATACTGCTTGCAATTCAAATATTCGAACATTAGAAAATGAGGCATCATCTGGATAATAAAATTAAATCCATTACATGGTAAACAGTTGCCCCAAAATAAAGGCTATTTATCATATCCCAGAGAGCCTGCTCAACTAAGGCAATAGTAAAATGAAATAAAGCAGGGGGAAATTGGCTTGATGGGGCAACAAGAATGGTGTCATCCTCACCAAAGACAGAAGTGCTTGAGGTTACCTTAAAGCAAATGCAGAATTGGCGAGAATCTTCCCAGGATTGTGAAGCCTGGACATATCTACTAGCAGCGACCACATATCTCTTTGGAAAGCGACAATGAACTCAAGTAATATCATTTCATTTTTGCCTAGCAGTATGTGTTAATCCCTTTTCTTCATGATGGTTTGGGGATGCCATCCTTCTCAGCATTTCTTGAGATCAACAGCACCCCAGCCTTGTCTGGCTATAGACTGCTTCTGTTCCCGGATCCCCCTCCCAAAACTCCAGATAATAAGATCTACCCATCATAGGACGTCTAACGGCCAAACAGGCGCTTTGGGGGAAGCTCTTAAGACCAAGGCAAACGGTCACTCCCGGGGCCCTTGCTTCCCCAGCGCTCCTCTGAAGAGAAGAGGCACCTAAGGTGGTAGGGCAGCCAAGGAGCTCAGAAAGGGAAGGCTAACAATCATATGAAGGCAAAGTGGGGGCGGGCGGTCAACTCCCGACGGTGCCTGTTTGCCTGTTCGATCCCCGTCTCAGGAGCAACAGGGAGAGACCCCTCCGCCCGGCTTGGAGGCCCCGAGTGACGTCTACGCCACGAGAAGCCGCGCTCCAGCCAGGTACTGACGCACGGGACCTGATGACGCAGGTGCTCAGCCTCCGTAACCCCCGGGCTTTGGGCTGGAGCGAGACGGCCTGCCCTGCCTCCTCCGCTTTGGGCACCTGAGGTGGAAGAGCCGGGTCCCCTCGCCAAGATTCCGGCTTGTTTCCACGCTTTCCAGACCCAGATTGCCACCAACCCGTTGCCACCCAACCCCACCCCGCCTGCCTAGCAGTGGCGCTTCTGGCGGATGGGCAGAGCGCTACAGCCCATTCCCTGGCACAAACACACACATACACGCGGCACGCACCATGTTGTGGCGAATCCCACCCGTCAGAGCGACAGCGGAGAGGCAAAACCAGCAGGGGAAGCGGCGAGCATCGCACCTCGGGAACCGGCCGGGGTGGCTCCACTTTGGATGCCTGCCTGCCTGCCTGCCTGCCTGGGGCTCCGGAGCTTTCTCCCCGGGACGGGCACCTCCTATGACCTCTGCCTAAAAGCCCCGGGGACCCTTGGCGACTCCTCAGGGACCGGCCCCTCCCTCTCCCCTGGGTGAGATTCGTTACCTGGAGACGTTTCTTCACCCAGATCTTCTTCATCTCCCCCAACTCGCGCGCCCTGGGCGTCTCCGTCCCCGCCCCGCCCCGCGATCAGCGCGATGCGGCCACCACGCGGCTAGCGGGCCCGGAGCAAGCGTGCGGCTGGGCAAGAAGGCGCATCCTTCGCACGATCGGCGGACCCGGGCTCGGTCCTTTGCCTCCCCGCCGACCCGCTCGCTGAAGGACCAGCCAGCCCGGAGCCTCGCCCGCCGAGACAATGACAGCGCAGGCGAAGAGGTGGGGTGCCGAGAAGAAGGAGGGGCCGAAGGGAGGGCTTGGAAGGAGGAGCTGGGGTGGAGAGGTTAGAAGAGGTGGTGGTTGCCTCTCCCCTCCCCGGCAAGGTACCCCTTCGGAGCCATCCGCGGTCTTCTCTCCTTCTTGGAAGGCGGGAGTGGGAGGGAAGTGGTCTCGTGATACCTGCGCAAGGGATCCAGCGGGCAACAGAACCGAACTGACCTTGTCGTGCGCCTGCCTCTTCCAAAGCTCACCTGAGGAAGCTGGACTACCAGAACCATAATAAAGGCATCTCCAGATCTGGAGGCAACATATAGCCTTTCCCTGGATACTTTGGACGAAAGTGGGGAAGGAAAACTGTTTAGGAGCATCTCACAGAAGCTTTAACCATTGTTAGGAAACTGGTTCCCTGAAAGGATCTGGGGTGGAACTCAACTCGGGCCTTGGGAAAGGGAAAGGAGAGGGGAAGTTGTGGTTCAGTCTTGAGAAAATAAAAAGGATGAGAAAGAGACTCAGTAGTAGGAGAAATGGGACAGGTTTTGGACAGAATCTCTTGCTCCTTTCCTGCTCACCAAAAACAACCTTGTCTATCTGCAAACAACCTTGAAGACATTCTACATAATACAGCTGTCCTATATTCATTTAATTGAGTTTTTGAGTAATGCTAGTTTGTAGAACCTGCAAATTTATCTGCAACTGGGGAAAACTTTTTGGGCTGAGATTTTATTGATAGTAGGAGGCGAAAAGAAAAAAAGGGGGGGAAAGGGGAAAAACAAACCTGGGCAGATTTTCAAAGTTCTGTTATTTTATCTGATCACAATAAAAAGTATTTTCATTACAGAAAGCCACGACATAAGTTGATAGTGTAGACATGACCAGAGCATTGGGATCAAGTCATCCTAGCAAAAGGTGAAGAAGACTTTGGGGTGATCAGCCTTCTCTTCCATGAGAAGAAGAAAACAGTTATGGGAATTTCTTTTTGTATAAGAAACTTAGTTTGCACTACACACTCTTGTAAGGTATCTTGGCTAGCGTGAACATCCCCAAAATAACTTTTAACCCCAAAGTAACTTTTAACTAGAAAGTAACAAGCTAAGTCAATTGCTCACATATGAAAACACACTCAAAAAGTTATACATCATGATTCCTGCCTTCAGATTAAAACAACATTATCATAACCAAATATAGTATAAATGAGATGCTGATGACAAATAATTGAGGGGAAAGACTAATATAAAACAGATCCAGCAAAAAATACGTGAGTCAGGAATGTTATGTAAGTACAGAAAAAGAATCTATCTTTGTGGAAGAGAGAAACTGAGACTTAACTCGTACAAATTTGTAGAGGACATAAATATATTTGTTTAACTTTGGATAGCAGTCTCTGATGCACTCATACCAGCCTCCCAGAGGGTAAAAGGAATTTATTATTTTACAAAGTACATAAAGTGTTCTTATAATAAAATCAATCCAGGATCTGGCCATTTGCCTTAAGTCAGATATAATGTGAACTATCATCCAAGTTACCATCTAAGGTTAAAGATGATAACTTTACAATCAGTTAAAGTTATACAATTCTAAATATTTGTTTTATTGCTTTCTTTCTGTTCTATCACAGGTATTTCTTGTACATTGTACTATTATAAATCTTGACTCTTTTTGTTACATAAGTAACTATTCTCACAGCCACCCTCATGCATATTCACGTAAAAATTACAGTAAGCCCCCTGGATTTAAATGGGCTTCATTCCTAATTAAGTATATCAATGATTTAGGTTCCTACAATTAGCAAGAGAAAAATCTGCCAGTGGCTCATTATTTAACATGATTATGTTTTTATAATCATGACAGAAAGAGCCAATGATTTAGGATTTCTGTCTTAGGTGCCAAAATAATGCAGTTGGCCTTCAGTAAAGGGAGCGCATGACACTATTTGCTGCTCTGCCTTGCAAAATATTATGGGTTGGTTTTCATAAGATTGCCATCTTAAGGCACACTAAGAGCCACAGAATTACTTACGTGGAATGTTATTGAGGCTAAATGATCAGCAACTTTTCCTCTGTAATATTTTTACAAAGGAACATAGACACCAAACCAAATTAGGCATATTGGAGTCCTCCTGAAATAATGAAGTCTTAACTACCATACAGTATTTCCCAATCAGCTTACTGGACATAATACTTGCTGATTATCATTTAAACCAGATAGGCAAAGATAAAGATCATGCATATAGTAAATGATGCCAGCAGATGGGGCATTTAAAGTAATTTATTCAGATGTCCCAATGTTGCTTTTTCCAAAAGGCAACTAGACTTTTTTTGTGTGTGTGTGTTTTTCTTTGAAAATGTTTCACTTCACATCCAAGAAGCTTCTTCAATTCAACAGAAGAAACTTCTTGGATGAGAAGTGAAGGGTTTTCAAAGAAAAACACAAACAA